AATACCCCATAAAAAGGCAATATGCCACACTGAGATTAAGCTGGCCCCTCGGGAAATGAGCTCTCACTAATGACTACTACTAATAGTAACACATGAGTACACAGTTGTCATCACAAAACTGGCAGATATAGGCAGCAAGAGTTCATTTAAGCTCTTTTCAGGAAAGGAGGAACAACCTACCGTAATTGTTTGTTTATGTAAAAATGAAAAAATATATACAACTACACCAAATCTATATTCTTTGTTCTCTTCAAGTGTTAATATAAAAAATGGCAAAATTGCAGAAACTACACGTTGAAGCTAAATGTGAAAATGTCTCCATTAAAAAGCAGATAAGGAGCTACATTTTAAAGTGAAGAAAGTTGAAACCTAAAAGGGTGAGATGAACTACACTTATATAAAAAAAGAAGTTAAGCACCCAGAGGGAATGATCTAATTTAGACATAATTTGATACACTTGCAGACCAGCAATGGCTTTGTAAATTAGATTTCCATGAGCTAGTACATCTAGAATGGGTACCAAAGGGTTTACAGTAAGTAGTGGCATCATGAGTGGAGTGATAGTATTATCAGGAAGTTGCTGGAGGTTCTCATATACAGTCACAGCTAATGAAGGAGGTTTCCAATCATTGATAAGAAACTATATCGAGGGAAGACTCTGTTGTGTGTCAAGCCTTAMAGAACCTGTCTACCAACCAGACACAAGTGTTGGACACTACATCACTCCACGTCATCCTGTATCATGTTTCTACAGCTGGTGTCAGCAGGATTAGAGGTTCACTGTCTCATGTGTAGGCTACCATCAGCAGAAGAGTCTAACCCTTACCCTGCACAAGGCCACGCTCCGATGACAAAGAGTGTTTATGTTCATCCATAGGCTCTTTCAGAAGATGCCCTATGCCATTCTGACCACCTTGGTCTATTCAAAAGACATACAGAGGCTGAGAAGGAGGGACTGAAACCTCTGCAGTGCCTCTGCACCTCCGAGCATGGCAGTAACAGACACGGTGCTGTTGACGTCTGAAAAAGTGGGCCGGGGTAGCATCTCCATCTAAATAAAATAATGTGACATAGTGTAACTAACACATATCAGAGACCACCCAGCCATAGATTTCTTATGTTAAAACGTCATAACCGAAACAACATAACYGGTTTTGGGTTTGTTTGTTTGTTTGTTTTCCAAGACATGCGAACTCCTTGCTCTGGGTGCAGAGGAGGAAATAAATGCAAACTTTATCGGCACAGAGACTGGCTAAAAGTATGCAGCATTGGTGACTCCTGAACGTCCACAGGGAGCATCAACACGGAATGGGCCGTGGTCCTCTGAAAGAGCCTCATGACATACAGTAAGGCCTCCACATGCCTCCATCCAAACTGATGAAATTGACTCATTGTTGCAGCTGCATGATGAAAATCCCATCATTTTCTTCGCAGCTTCAAGTCTTCCACCTCTTGTCACAACCCGCTGGGAGAACTTTTCACTTCCCTCCGTATTAAAAAKTATTGTGTGATTGGTCAGAAGTTCATTGGTGTGTTTGTTTTTACTGAAAGTGCTCGGACGCTGCATTTTGCTTCATCTACTCGCTTCCAGAACGTTGTAACCGGAAGCAGTCAAACGGCCAAAAACTCATGGAAATGAAAATGACGTTGTGAATGGAGGAATCTGTCTGACAACTCAGACATATTTGTGTGAAAACAAACATGGAACAACAACAGCAGCGTGCCTCGACTGTTCGGCTTTGGCTTTGAGTATACTGGGTAGTATTCAATACCATGGATAAGGTCTGACTTCAGGTCACTTCTGGTAGTGATCTGGGGGATCTAATATCCTAAACTTGATGTCCATGTGTCTTASCCCTCCTGACACAGCACTTCAGAACAGTCTTTCAGCAATACAACACCTGTCCACATATATGTGTGTCTACAGACTTCCTGTGTCGGTGTCATGGTGAGGTCATCTCACCGGGTTCACTAGTTTTTAGCACATTAAACTATAAACTCTGACATTGTTGATCTGCTTGAATCCTAATTTCTGTAACATATATATACATATATATATTTTTTTTCAATGTTTGTTGATTTGAAGTGCATGGCTTGGTTTTTTATCTGTTTGAGGATTTAGTGTTTTTTTTCCTCTAACGAAATACTGCATGTTAAATTAATAAAAGGGATTTTCAAGTCCTTTAGTGAAAATTTCCTGCCTAAAGTTGCACCAATATGTTGGATACGGGAAAAATAGCATTAAAAATATTTTGTTTTATGTGTTCACTCTGATCCCTGCAAGGTTAAATACCAGATTTTATTGCCAGACCCAGACAAAAAAAAAGAAAAAAAGAAGACAAATATTCACATTTTTCTGCTGTTATGTGTCCATGAATGAAACGTCAGTGCAGAAAGGATCATGTAGGAGTCCCCGGGCTTCAATCCGAAAGTAAAATATCACCATCCTCAACCTTTACATTGGACATTTAATTAGGTTTCTAGCTGCAGCAAAGGGCAGTGAGGAGGAGAAAGAGCTGCTGCTGATTTCCCCCCAGGGCGACTCAAACTCAACCATAAAACACCGAATCTTGCACAGAAAGCAAAGTCACATTTATTCACAACACACACATACATCCCTCTACAAACAACAAAGTGAGTTTGTGAGCTCAGGAGTAAACAAATTAGGGAGGTGTTTACCAGACTTTCTTGTTCTTATAAGGTCCTAACACTCCTGCACCTGAGACTAACCTGTGAAAACCTGTCAAAGGTAAACACCTACAGTACATTTATATTTGGATCACAAAATGAGTGAGAGCAACAACAGCGGGCTGAAACTTCTCCTAAAGAAGGGAGTGATTGGAAATGGACTCCTCATCTCCAGAGGAAAAATGCAATTTCATGCTCCGGCTCAAGTCTGAAGGAGACCTCAAGGTTAACAGCATGAACCTGAAAAAGATCTTGGAAGTCCAGCGGGGCAACATCAACTCCTTAAAACATTTGGTGAAATCCAGGTTAAAGAAACACGTGATTTTAAAAGGAAGAACAGAGGATCTTAATGAAAACGAGACATGCATTTAAAATATTCCAGCTTGATCTTTCTCTTGTTGTTATTGACGAGCAACTATGTCATCACCCAGCCTGTTGCAGCCTTCCTGCTTGATGCAACAGACATCAGTAATTCACAGAAGCATTAAATAAGTAAGTATTTGTTGCATGTTTAAAAACTTTATCTTTGGTAAACAAGCACTGGTCCTAAGCAGTCGTGCGTGAGGCTGAATCTGGTCGTCTGTAGCCACAGCCGAGCTTAATCCGGTTCACTTGTTGATTGATGCCGTTTGGCTCAGAGCGGGTTTATCTGTGATTAGCTGTGCCAAACACTCTAACAGAAATATTGACATGTCTGGGTATCAAAGCATTGAATATAATAGTGTTTACTGCAGAAATGCAATTTGYTATTTCACCATTTTGGTCAAACCTTGAAAATAAYRACACGCRCAATCTCGTGAAAGTTGTAGGTGTGAATGATCCTCAGCCACTATCATATCAAAGATCAGCCCAATRTCTGTAAAACTGACTGAGTTACAGTAGGTTTTGTGTTTGCTAATGTTCAATAACAATGACAGCCAGGTGTGTAAATCAGATGGCCTTTAAAAGTGAATGAATTGTATGTTAATATCTGAAAGTTTCATTAAAATCTGCCCAGTGGATTATAAGATATTTTGCTAACAGACAAACAGGGTTGACTCCACTCCAACAGTTAATGCTAAGGTTTTAAGCAAAACTCGCATGCAGTGAGTACTTGCAGCATGTGTTGTGAGACTCTCTGCTTCAGTGGCASCAAATTTCAAAATAAAATCTGCAAAATGACCTAAATTATATTTGTGTTTTCTAAAGGTTTTGTGCAGCCATCTTGGATCGAGCGGACTTTAAAATGTAATCATAACCAAACATCAAATGATTTATTTCTGAAAGTTTCAAAAGAATCTGCCAAGTGGTTGATGAGTTMTTTTGCTACCARACCGACAATTTAWTCTATGGTTAAAGGCAAATAATTAAACTGAGGTCTCGTGCAATCTGTTCACAGAATATGTGATGGGGCTGACGCTCAGCTACTACCACACCAAATTCTAAAATATATTTATGTTTGCATTTTTTAAGGTTAGCAGCCACGTTGAAGGTYGGGAACACAAATGCACACACGAGCGAAAACATCTTGACCTGCCTTTCACCTTTCTGCAGTGAGGAGGGGGAAAAAAGATGATTTTTGCACTTTGTTTCTCGAAAGAGAATCGTGACTTTGCGCAAACCTGGACGAACATAGTTTACAATTTATGAGCTAACTCGCTGTGTAAACATATAAACATTTCATATGAAATACTTTTACGTAAAGGCAACCACAACAAAATGACCATAACCCCAAGTTCAATCATGCAGGGCTGTGGTGCGTTCAAGGCCCTTCCACTTTCCTGGACTTGTTCCCATAAAAGTACCAAAGCTGCAACTCTAAAATAAACATAAATCAAACTTCAGAGTTAAACTTAATCCAGATCTTCTGAACAACAAACGAGCTCAGAGTATCAGCACCAAAAGAAGCTAAAAGATGCTCAGCTCAGACACACAAAAACACACACTCTCCAATCTCAGCACCTACTGAGCTTCTAATTCAGATCATCTCCTGGTAAACACTTCACAGTCAGGGTGGGGGGRTGTTTTCACAAATTCATCATCATTCTTTCCCTTGAAGCTTTAAAACAGGAGAAAGACAGCAGCAGCTTATAACAGACCTTATAAATATTTGCAGACAGGCTACAATAAAACACGTTTTCCTAAAACTTTTATAAATAACATGCAAAAGTTAAAAATAAAAAAATAACTATAATCCCCACATGCAGGAACGTTCTGACGCTTTAAAACCTCCATGTTTTTGTCCCTGTTTCAACTCCACACGTGTTTGACTCAAATAAATAAATAAATAAATAAATAAATAAATAAATAAATAAATAACAAGCGTCTCTTACATCCTCGTCCTCTCGCACACACTTTATCCGGTGCAGGGCGCGCGCTCTGCCGTCGGCCAGCTGCGGACCCGTCTTGGTTCCGTTCTCCTCGTCCGCGACCTGGTGGCCCCCCAGGAGGTGGCTGGCCTCAGGTGGGTGCGGGAACGAGTTGGTGGTGTTGATCTTCCCGGTGAACCTCTGATACAGCGAGGCCATAATAATAATAATAATAATAAGGAACAATTCCCTCGTGCGCTTTATAAGGGTTAGTAAATGCGCATCTCTGGGTGATGATCTGTTAAAAGAGGAGGGGGAAAGTGATATCAATCTGAATCCTGCGCAGAGATAGTCCCTTCAGCTTTGTCCACGCGGGGAGACTGGGGGTCTTGGTGTCAATAGTTGCCCTCTTTTGTATTCAGGACACGCTGTCTCCACTCTTCAGTTTCCTGATGCCTCCTTTCCAGGCAGATAGCAGGCGGAAGTGCCGGGCTTTTCATCAGATAGTAGTCGATCATCAGCCGGCTGGATTGTCCGCAAAACAAAACAAAAATAAAATAAATAAAAAGGAGCCGGAGATAATGATTCGCACACCTTTCTTTCTTTCCTGTGTCCAGCTGATGAAGGACGCAGAGAGGTGTAGGAGCTGTCCTCTGCTCACGCGCTCTGCATGAGAAGTGACTTCTCTCCAGCTCCACGCGCCCTTTTTCTCCTCCAAGTCCGCGCCCGTTCAAACGCTCCGATTAACAAGTCCCACTCGTTTAGGAGCCCATGAATCAGGTTCTGTTTTTTTTTTCTTCTTTCTTTCTGTTTTTCTTTCTCCCTCCACAAAACGATCACAGCCTGGTCCCAGGACGGAGCTCGAGTGCCTCTCCGTGGCGCTGCGCACACAGGGCAGGCTGACCGACACTACACCTTCTGGGCTTATAGGCTGATGTCGTTTATCTCTTTTTATTTCTTGAAGTCTGACACTAAAATATATATTCAAAAAGGATGGATTTATAATTTGTTCAAATAAGAAAACGCTTGATCTCGTGCCATATTRTGCGATCTCGCGAGATGTGTCAGAGCTCAGAGAACGTTTTGGGGATGACTCTCAGCTACAACCACATCAGCTCAATATCTGTAAATCTGACTGAGCTATTGCCATTTTTTGGGTTTCCTTCTTTCATTTGGCTGCGGCGGCCATCTGAAGTTGGATTGACACCAGAAAGTAATCAGCTGTAGATGCACAGCCAGTGGTTACTTCCTGAGAGTTTCATTCAATTTGATCCAGTATTTTTTGAGATATTTTGCTAACAGACAGACACAGCTGACTCCAATAGTTAGAATTATTTTTTTTTTAAAAAATAGAGCTTGTTTAATTAGTTAGTGCTTGGGGTGTGTGGAACTGATTCTCAGTTATCTTCACACCAAATTTTAGCTTAACAACTTTAAAATTGACTGAGTTATTGTTATTTTTGGTTTTATTAATGTTGATTAGCTGTGTGTTGAACACAAATGATTTGTAGATGTCAATCCAAAGATTAGTTCCTGAGCGTAGCTTTTAAATATAGCAAACCTTTCACTGTCTTATTTACACACAAATAACTATATTTTGCACATATGATTTTCTTCTTTTTTTGCCAGATTCAAAACAACTTCCCCTTAAACTGTCATCTATTTTCTGCRCATCCCATTTTTAAGCCCTGAAACATGCAGGTGCCACATTTCTGCTGCTTTCCGGTGAACACAAAAATCTAAAGCTTTATGCAGTATGACTCTGGGGTCAAAATGTGCACACACACACACACACACACACACACACACACACACACACACACACACACACACACACACACATCTACACAGTCGTCAGCTTTCACTCAGACTGAGCTGTGTTTCTGGGTCATCCTCGCCAAGGGATAACTTCAAAGCAGAACTAAAATTCCAAACAACTCCTCACACACTTCTGTAGAAGAACCACTGCTGTTTCTCCCATTCAGTGTAATCAAGTTAGTGCTGCAATCATTCACAAAGAGCTTATCAAGGCAGGCCCACTGGAGCAACGGAAAGAAAAAAAAATATGTTTTTGACTTGAAGATAGAACAAAAGGGGGGAATTTCAATTAATTTTTTATTTATTTATGATGAGTCATCTCATGCGCCAAGAGAACCGCTGGAAGCTCATTGATACATGGCTGGAATAATGAATATAACCTCGATAAGAGTAAATGTATTTGGAATACGGAGTATTTGTTTCAAAGATGTGGAAATTCATTAAAAAGCAAAGATGTATGACTCCACAGCCTCAGCCTTTTTGTGTAATGCTGGATCAGCATTTACACTGTTCTCTATATTTCCATTTTTCTGTCTTTTACAATCCAAACACTTTGCTATTTTAACAATATCAAAATATTCGACTTATTCAGGTGATGGGTGCTCAGATTCTGTTTTTCGCAACTTTTATACTTTTCCAAATGTTTAACTTGGAAATTATTTTTTAGACAAAAAAAATTTAACTTTAAGGTTTTCGTCTCTTTTAGGTTTTCAGCCTTTTGCTATTTTTTAAATTTAATATAGCCTTTTGGCTTGCTTTTGCTACATTTGGTTTTTAGGTAGCCCTTTGCTACCATTTAGTTTTTTGCTATCTTTAGGCAGCCTTAGCTGTAAGCAAGGGATGGCATGGTGGCTCATGTTGGTAGATCTGCCTCTCAGCAAGAAGGTTGCTGGATTGAATCCCAGCCCAGGACCTTTCTGGGTGGAGTTTGTATGTTCTCTCCAGGCATGTGTGGGTTTTTTCTGGGTACTCACATGGACAGCTGTTAGCAAGCTTTTTGATGCCTTTAGCTTTTTATTAGCCTTTTGGTACTTTGAGCTTTTAGCTRTCCTCTTGCTACCTTTTAAAAGGGTTTTGCTACTTACAGCTACCATTTGACTTTTAATTTGCATCATTTACATTTTCACCATTTTTTGATAGCCTATAGCTTTTTTAGCCTTTTGGTATATTTAGCTTTTTGCTATCCTTTTGCTACATTAAGGTAGTATTTTGCTACTTTTAAACAGTGTTTTGTTTCTTTTAGACTACTATTCAACTGTGTTTGATAATGCTATGCTGTTGCTTTTAGCCATTGTTTTAGCTTTACCAACTCAGTTTTAGCTTCTTCTGCAAATTTCAGCAGTTATTCAACGTTCACACTGCATTTTGCAGAAAATGCCATTTTTCTCATTAAATTTTGTTCACTTTTTCTCTTGTCCTCAAACTGAAGCATTTATCCTTGATTTATCCAATAGTTTTGAAATTATCCATGTGATACTTTTCTGCACGCTTTAAAATTGAATTTGAAGATGTGTTGCGGACCGAACGTCTCTGAGCTTCCAGCAGTCGCACTAACCACATCCTCGCTCCCTGTCATCATTTGTTCCCTCTAGTTCATAAACATCCTCTTTTGGACTTGGGCGCCCCTGGGAAATAGGTCCAAGCTACTTGACGTCCACCCGGGCCCTTCCTGATGGATGTCTTCCAATCCCTCTTACCTTGTTGAGGAGCCATTGTGAAGTGCCCGACTGCTTTAACGCTCCCCTCAGGACTGTGCCGGGGAGCTTGGGCTCAGCTCCACTTCCCTATCGCCTTGTTACAGATGGAGCAGCTAACAGAAGCACCTTTCACCCCYGCTCCCCCACCCACCCAAAAAATCACTTCAGTGAAGTCCTGCATTCTGGGTGGTAAAAAAAAAGATTGGAGGGACTTGTAATAAAAGCTCTTCTGAGAACAACAGGTGTACTTCCTCTGAGGTGGGCTAATAGCAATGCTGGAAAGAGAACAAGGTAAAACCAATGCAACACTGTGATTACACTTCAAGCTGACAGCAGATGCATTTTTAATCTGACTGATATGGTTTCAGCTTTGAGGATTTGCTGATGCGGTGAGTGATGGCGTTATGAGGCTCTGCAATAAACCCCTAAAGTGATTTTACTTTCAATTCCACTGATTAATACACCATTATCTAAAAAGTGACTGAATGCCTCAATGTTATTTTTATCACCCACCACCAAAGGCAAACAGATGATCGTGTTTTTGACTGTGTCTCTGTGTGTTTGTGTGTATTCTGACAACACATTCTCACTCCCGAGTCGTCACATATTGACGTTTTTCAAAGGTCCCTTTGCGTCCAATTTTGACGCATCAGGTACCCCCCTCGCGTCAGTCCTTGCCGCCCGCGGCTTTTCCGGGTTGCGCCACCAGGGGTCTTTGGGTCGGGGGTCTGAGGTTAACATTAGGGATCAGGATAAATGGTTAAGTTTAGGGACTGGGGTCAGGGATAGGATGTCTACAGTGAACATTAAGTAATTTTAGGCTTTGCAACACGTAGTTGCCATGAATTTCCTACATTTTCTAAAAATGGTTAATTTTACGTATCAGGGTTAATGGTTAATTTTAGGTACTAGGGTCTGGGACAGGATGTCTAAAGTGAATACACGTAATTTCACGCTTTGGGACGGTAGTATTTGTGCATTTTCTACACTTTGAAAAATTACGACAACAGATTCCGCCCCATCCCGTCAAAATATGACGCAAGGGGGGTACCTGATGCGTCAAAATTGGACGCAAAGGGACCTTTGAAAAACGTCAATATGTGACGACTCGGGAGTGAGAATGGGTTGATTCTGACACTATTTTTTTGTCTGTCTCATTAGCATAACGTCCCACAAATGACAAATTTTAATGAAACTTTTTAGAAAATCATGAAATTCACAGCTGAAGGACATTTGGCATCTATTTCATTTCAAATCTGCTTTTTCAGACATTTTGGTAGCGTTTTTGTTGCATGTTTGATAGTATATATGCTTTATGAGCATAAGTCTCAACTAGCTGCTAGATCATTTACTGGTAAGACCTAAAATAATAAAATATTTTGAATATCTCGTGGCTTGTTCAGTTCATCTAAGTACAGATAAGAACAAAATTCAAAATGAACTACAAGACTAATGAAAGCAGCAATTATTATCATTGGTAAATGCTTAAAATTATGTAAATCTAAATAGAGACTAGACAACTTATGCCAACTTATGAAACATTTTTGTCTAAATTTAAAATAAAGGTTATATATTTGATCATTTTTTTAAGAATTACAATATGTACATGCTGAAAATAAGCTCCCTGCTGATTTTTTTCTATTCCAATGCAGACGTCTTTAAAATGTTCATAATTTGGCATAAGTTGTCTAGTGTGACAGGGTCTTTAAATCAAGTCGTTACAAGTTACAGAATTATACGTTTTAAAATTAAAACTTAAAATTGCACATTCTATCGTAAACCCCTTGTTTGTAAAAATTCAGACTAAGAATCAACACGCCGACATTTCACCTCATCCAGTGTTTTCTCTGCTGTAATTTGCAAAAAGCATCAGGAAAAACAGAAAAACGAAGTCACATCTAAATTTAATGATGATATAGGTTTGTTTTTATAGATAAACCTCAACACAATTTGATTTTTAGTTAAATAACTTTTAAACTATTGGACATCTACAACTAATTACTGGAGTAAATTCAGTTTGAGACGTTGCCAATCAAACTTAGCCTTGACAAAAATGGCTAAACCTTAGAGAATTTTATAGATATTGATGTAAAACTTGTGTGGTAATAGCTGACAGTAGTATACAACATACTTTAAGCGTTAACAGGTCATGAGATTTTACAGTTTATCTCTATGAGATTTGATTGATTTGATTTGACTTATTTATTTAACAGGAACATATTATTAAAAATCAAGTCAGACTCAGCATAATTGCTGTTTTACAGCAGGTTCCTGTTC